TATCACCGGTACCAAAAGAAAAAAGATTGAAGTGCAAACCCAACTCCCACTAGCATTTAAGCCTCCACCACTCGCAGAGAGTTCAGACCGAGCCAAAGCTATTACAAACGCCTTTTTGCGTGGCTGTGTCTTTAGTTGAAAGCCCAGTGGAGATCTGTTCATCCGTCATACAGTCAATAACTTTGTTGTTATTAGCATCTGGTTAGCTAGCTATGCTAACGAATACAAGAAGCTTTTTCTACAACCAGTGAGGTAAAGGCACATCTTTATATGATCATTATAGTTATAAAGAAAGAAGAGAATAAAGTAAACAGGTATAAAATACTATATGACAGTAAAAAAAAAGAATACAGTTTGAAAGGGGGGCGATTTGTAAAATATCCATAAAGAAAAATGAAATCTGTTTACAGTTCCGTTTCATATGGGTGTTGAGAGATGTATCCATAGATCCATATATTTCGGTTTTGGTGGTCATGCCACAACCGTGCACGTGCATGCATACACGAGTCATGGTAAGATATCTGGATTAAGAGGTTGCTTTTTCTTTGCACAGCATGAAAGAAAGGTGAAATGAATGGGCTGTGATTTTAGTATTTTTAAGCAGAGGTCAATCATTTGTACAGCCCTCGGAGGATGTTGAAAAAATTGAAAATGGCCCTTGAGAAAAAGGTTCCCCACCCCTGGTTTAGATAGTTACAAAAAATATGTTGGCATTAGAGATGTTAAGATTCACCGATTCGCATCGGTGCACCGGCATAAACGTTCAAGATGCGAGTGCACCGGTTGAAAGAGTGCACATCGGCTACAGTTTGGGTTGAACCGGGTTGAACTCGCGATGCATCGATTGCGTAGCGTCTTTGCATCGGTAAAAAACCGATTCATTCATATACAATTCCCTCATCTTGTCAACGCTCAGCAGAGACGATCTTTGATATTTGCTTTGCCACTACGGAGGCCGAGAGTCTCAGTTATCAACACACACGGAAGTTGAGGAGAAAGAGAAACACAGCGCACCGAAAAATACCTACAAATCAAACGTTTGGCAACACTTCGGATTGTTCAAGAAAGACGGTGTAATAGTCCTTTATGCTATATAGTTGACCGCAGGTCATGGAGAGTAATAAGGTATCCGTAGACCTTTGTATGAGGTATCTTTATTACTTAACAGGTCTACAGCCATGATACATAGATCCGTCCTAGATGCGGGCTTGCATACACACAGTATCACTCCGCAGCCGCACCCCATCAGTAACGTCCTGATGGTATATGTGTGCGGCACTATATACTACAGACGGTCAACTTGAAAAATCGCTTGCAAATTGTTAACGATGCCGAGCCGCTTTAAAGTACACAAGTAGTACGAGGAACTTAGCGACGCACATAAAGAGGCGACATGGGGTCTGCGGCTGAAAAGATAAACCTGAAAGTTAGACATATGAGTTAAATCACTCAGTGAGGTGTTCTGTCAGAGAGAGTGGTGTTTAGTTTACAGCAGCCTGTGACGGCCAATAATAATGTAAATGTCTTCCTTACTGTAAGCAGTTATGAAATACCTGTTTGTGAAAGGTTATTTGTATTCTTTATTGTTCATATAGAACCCACCGCTTTCTGCTCACTGGTGAGTTAGCCTATGAATGAGTGTTAAGCACATCAGGCTGGCAGCTGTATGGGCATTGCACTATGGTAGCTGTTATTTTCACATTGTTAATCATGAGCAATGCATCCTTACATTGTTTAACTGTGAGGTGTTATAGAATTGTACTCTGGAGAGCTTTTAAAGGTAAAAAGAATAAACGGCATGATGGGATGTGCAGTACCAAATATGTAAAGCACTTTTTTGTTAATGTATGATTTGTTGCATATAAGGAATAAAACAAAAATCCTCTGTCGTACCAAATTGAAGTATCATTATTTTTGCATCGTGTTGAATCGCATCGTATCGCACCAAATCACATAATGTTGAATCAAATCGTATCTAACTGTATCGCAACAGGGGTGAATCGTATCGTATCGCATCGCCTGGTGTTTCAAATGTATCGTTAATGTATCGTATCGTGGCAACGTATCGAGATGCGCATCGCATCGGCCTCAGTGATGGAGATGCACATCCCTAGTTGGCATACATTATAGAGGCTTGATGCAAGCATATGCAAGCTAATGAGGTGTCTGAATAATATCCATGTATTTATGCAGACAGTCCAATGAAAGTTTAAGACATTTCTAATTCTTATGTCATGTGCAAAGATAGTTTCATTTCTAACTCGGACCTGAATGATCATAGTAACCTACTACAGATGAAAGGAAACCGTTTTCATCGGTTCATCATGTTTCAAAAGGGGCAGCGCTGTGAGACTGTGAATGGTGCTTCATTTCACTGGCAAACACAAAACTCATTAATGTTTTAGTAGAAAGTCTGAATTGATTCTAGAGGATGAACGCTGAGTGGAATGCTAACTCCCTTTGCTACACAGTAGGGCTGTGCAATTAAATCGTATTTTAATCTCGATTACGATTTTGGCTTGCAACGATTACGAAAACAACGTAATCGAAATAAAATGAATATTAATTGTATTAAAAAAAGAAAATGTAATTTATTTTTGAATTCTTTTTTCAGTTGAATTATACTTAAAGTTCAGGGAATCAACTGTTAAAAACATAATGTTCACATTTTTTTTCAATAAATAAATAATCGTTTTTAATAATCGTGATATCAATTATTGACCAAAATAATCGTGATTATGATTTTTGCCATAATCGCACAGCCCAGTGCATCAACTATGGGAACAGAAGAGACAAACAATTACTTCAAAAACACAATATATCTGGGATAAATAAGAACTCCCACAATCCTATAGGTTCCTGGTCTGTCAACACTTTCCTTTTTAGCTCAAGGATAGCTACCGGAAGAAGGGGGAAAAGGCTCTCTAAACTGGTGGAATTGTTGATTTGCTGGTAGTCAGAAGACTTTCACTCACAGACTCTCTCTGTCAACAACACAACAAGCTCTTTTTGCCTCCAAAAAAGGCAGGCTAGAGCAAATGCTACGAGAGCAACAGTCAGACACAGGTTCTTATTGACAAACCAGGGCCCTTACATTTCATCTTCAGGTGAAATTACCATATTCTCCTACCTTATGTCTCTTAGAAAACCCCGGCCTTAAGGCTTGGGAATCCCTCATGACAAACCACACACAGCAAAACGCAGACGCTTGAACTTCTCACCTACTGATTGTTTAAAGTGCCCTAAATTATCTAGACTTTAGAGATTATTCTACTGAGCCTTTGAGTGTCAGCCAAGTGTGCAAAATGCATTTCAAATTTCACACAATGTGCTTTCAAAGCCCTTACAGCTTTATGTATGGGCACACATAAATGTTCAGCCTCTCTCCCTTTTTTTTGATTCCATAAATGAAAGTACTGTAGGTTTTGAAAAATCACTTCTGAAGGCTTCAGGATTTGAAATCCATTTGAGCTCTGGGGATTGTTTCCAGTGAGCAAAGAAGGAAAGTTTCCACTGCAACAATAACATACCGTAATGATGAAGTCCAAGTAACTCAAAGACACACAATCAAAGCCAGGCATAGACCCTGAGGCAAGTTAAGGCTCTCAGTCAAACATTGGATCGAAGGCAAACATCACAAATTATCTAAATAGTATTTATTGCAGTAAAGTTGATAATTAAGATGAGTTGTTGCATCACACACTGGCTAGCGCTAACTGAAATGGGCATGATCTAACTCTGAGATGACTGAGCACTTATTCTTTTATCTACACGGGTTGATTAATAATAGACAGTTTTTTCATTCCTGACTATTTTGGGGATTTTTGCTTTATGTTGTGTCCATGGGGCGCCGGCTCCCCCAGGTGAGCCACCGTGGAGCCCCCCTTAATCAGGACTTTGTGTCTTTATCATTGTTATTCCTAACTACTACGAATATGCAAATGATGGTTGTAACAACAAACAGATATATGTACATATTTCAACCATTGAATACCATGGAAGAGTCCTTGTAAGATCACGAAACAAAGTGCATTGCCGACAGTGTGCAGAGCCCACCCACCCCTTGCTCTGGGAAGAGATGTACATATTTCTCATTCCATTCTCCAACACGTTACCATCTGTCCCAGGTCTAAGCTCGGCAGGCCTGTGTTTGAGTTACGCCTACGGCGAGCCCCTGGAGAATCCCTGCCTGCAGGCTCCATCTTTAGCTTTACAAGTCCCCGCCTTTCACTCATTACAGGACACATACCTACAGTGTAGCATACATTCGCCTAACTTAGAAAACACGCCCGGTAGCTCCTTCGCCTTCTTGCCGAGTACATCATTCTTTCTTTCCTCTACTACAGAAATATATTTGATTGTATTTTTAGAATGGAAGTTGAAGCCATGGTAAAATATACTACACTACTTATAGTAGATGTCAGTGTGTACACTTTTGCCGTCACTGTTTCTAAAAGTGTTTACAGCTTAAAGCTAATAACACAGGGTTGTTGTCTTATTGAATGACTATGCACCAAGCTTTTAACATGTTGTATGTTCTTATATAGTGGTGCATAGGAGCCTCATTACAAATAATATAATGTATCCAAGATTCTGTCATAGTTTCCCTACTTCTCGTGAGGTTAGAAGTCTGGATCAGATTTCCTACAGCATCCACACTGTAGGGGTTTAATGGTTTGCTAAAAGACATTTCAGGAGAGCGGGGGCAGATTAAACCCAACCCTTCAGGTCGAAGGAAGAGGAACATTTCAGCCGCTTTTTTCATGACTCAAACCAAACAAATTCAACATTGGTGAAGAAGAAAAAAAAGCATAGCAATTTTACAAGACGGCCAGCTCCTCCCAGCATAAAGACATGCCTGCACACCAAGGAGACTGAATGCATGTGTGTATTATGGCCACCAGGAACGAGCTCAGCATTCCAGCACACACAGAGACACACCGTTTTCAGGGTGCTACAATGACAGCACTGTGGTCGACTGATTTCCCCCCAAAACTCACCATTTCTTAGTGCATTCCACCATCAGTTCCTGATAGGAAGCCACAAACTGGAATTTAGATGCATGCTTCCCCACACGTTGCAATCTCTTCCAAACCGAGGCCATGTTTCTTTGGGAGCGGGTAGTCTCTGTGCACCTATCCCGTCCTGGACTTCCTTCTTTGGGCTTCCTTCGCACAAATTCACGCTAGTGTTTATAGGAATCTGAGCATATCCAACCCGTGTAGACACATAATTAATGTTTTACCGGAAGCACAGTGGGAGAAAAAAAAGATAAGACTGCACATCCAGTCGGCGCTGACGATCATTAAAAACGGCCTGATATATCCAGATACAGGGACATGAAATCTCTGCAGCAGTGGTCGAGATTTGATTTGCGCATGGTGTTATGAAGAAATCCACTCCATAATGTTGAAAGGCATGATGAGTAATCCCCTTGGTATTAATGTGATATTTCCATCTGGTGATCTTCCTGCAAGAGAAGGAGAAAGGGCACAGTCAGTGAAGCAGCAGCATGACTGTAAAGCCCCGGAGTATCCTCACTGATTTATAATACCATCACTAAATGTCTCCGTTACAGTGATGCTTTGTCCGTGTAACAGCTTTCCTATTACCCTGAGCTGAAGCGCGATAGATGTTAAAACAACCCAGCGTATCTACATAACACTTGTTCATGTGTAAGAATGTGTTGAGGACTCCAGCACCGCCACTTCTGCTGCCAGCACGGCGTGCCGGGGGGAGAGATATTTACTGGTGTGTCAAAGCTAACTTGTGATGTTTGATGATAAACATATGAATGTGTGGCACTGAAAACATTGACAGAGAAGCGATGACAGTACATTAAAACAAGTCGTGTTAACCACCTTAGTCTATTAAACACTGCAGCGACGATGAGAACAGGAAACTGAGATTTAAATTAACATTTTGTAAACATGGAATATTTTGTGGAATGTGTCTGAATCCAGGGAATAGTCTTAGCCGGAATGATTCAGCTGCTAGGCTAACGTGAAACTAGGTTAACTCGAATGACACTCACCTTAACGTGATATCCAACGCAATATCCAACGCATTATCCGCTACGTCTCCTCGTCGGCAGTGTTAAGAGGAGGCGAACTGTCAACACAACACACCAGCAAGCAAACGTTGACTGCTTTGCAAGCTAATTATCGCTTTCTTTTTGCAGCAGTTCCATACATACAGCTAGCTAGCCTGCTAGCGACGACGGCTAGCCATCACAACACGGCTCGAGCGGAAACCGTTGCTCGCCCGTTGACACATTTGCTCCACACAGGTATACCGCGTACGCTCCGGGACACACGACTGAGTCAGGACCGACAATTAGTTAAGCTTGTCCCAGCAAATAAAATTTAACAAAAGTATTTCAACCCCAAGGCAGGAATTCCCACAGCAAAGTAGTCCAACTGTTACTGATAGTTTGACCGCTTGGTTCCCAGGAGCGTGAAGCTAGCCAACGTTTAATGTCATTTCCGGTAGGGGTTGTCATAATAAAAGCATGACTGAATAGTTGCTGTTTGTAGTAGAAATCTGGACACGTGTGTTAGTTTATAGTATAGTATAGTTCATTTAATTACAGTTGCGTGTTTCTATATATATATATATTACGACTGATTCGAAATATATGCCATTTTGATCATAGGTCGGAAGTAACTAAGTACACTTACTCAAGTAACATTTTGAGATACTTGTACTTTACTTGAGTATTTCCATGTTATGCTACTTTGTACACTACAATTCAGAGGTACATCTTGTACTTTTACACCACTACATGTATTTGGTTACCTTTAGTTACTTCACAGATCTGGATGAATGATGTGAAATATAATCAACACTTAAATCAGACCTTAGTTCCACCTGGAGTAAATTCACTAGCTACCCTGCAGTATAGAAACTCATTACAACTAGCTGCACCTTTACCAGCTTTGTTAACACGTTAATGATCAATCATTATAATCAAAAAAATATTATATATATATATATACCATCTGAAATTGATCAATTAGCATAATGAGTCATTTTACTTTTGCTTCTTTAAGTATATTTTGATGCTAATGCTTTTTTACTTGAGTAACCTTTTGAATGCAGGACTTTTACTTCTAACAGTACCCGAGTATTCCTACACTCGGGTACTTCTACTTTTACTCAATACAAGATATCAGTACTTAGTACTTCTCCCACCTCTGCTTCCAATTCTAACAGTTATATGTATAGTTTATTTTGAAGGCTAATCTCATACTTCCGGTGTTGTTCTATATTTATATGGCTAGCTTGCTTGCTACTCCTTTGCTTCTCCATCATTTCTCTGCAGGCTGGAGTGACGCCCCCGGGAAGCATCCATTGGTGGGATTCCTGTGCCATTTACAGATTGTTTACTGATTTGTGAGGCATTTCTAGGTTGTTGCTTTAACACTGGTCAAATCCTTCAAAGACATGTAATCCTTCACTGTGACTGTGAGTGTAGATACAAATGCTTTCTGGCTTTGGTTTTCACTTGGAATGATTGCTGCTGCCCCTACCGACTAATTCAGAGATGGATTCAAAGATATATTTAGGATGAAGTCACCATAGCACAACGTTTTAAGATGAAGGACACATTATAAAATAAGGATAAGCAAGGTTTATTGTAAAAACACAAATGTAATTTATTAAAACACAAAAAGATCAGGCTTTTTCATGATAGCGCCCCAGTTAAAAAGTAATTAGTTAAAAACATTACATTACTCACTTGAGACCTTTAACATGAACACACTAGCATTGGCATTACATTTATGCTAGGTATGGACCATTGTTATCCTCTAAAACAGATAAGGAGAAGCATGCCCATTTATAATAAGATGTTAGATATAAATCTGTGACAGCATTAACAAAATCATTTCAAAGCTTTAAAATGAAAACAATAAGTTAACACTGGACACCATAGTTTTAAAGCCCACCCCTCCCTCAGGTTGGTGCTAATGAGGATGACTTCCACTTCAGGGTCCTGTCACATTAATAAGTGAGTGTTAACCTTGTACTCCTGAATGCCGCGGGGTCTTTTTCACATGTTGAGAGGAAATAAAACACCTACCATCCGAAATCAATGCCCCCCTTTCTCTCCACACACACACACACACACACACACACACACACACACACACACACACACACACACACACACACACACACACACACACACACACACACACACACACACACACACACACACACACACACACACACACACACACACACACACACACACACACACACACACACACACACACACACACACACACACACACACACACACACACAGGCTTGTAAATATGTGGCAGAGGAAGCAGCACTGCAGAGGGGGAAACAATATGAGGCAGATTAATTTAATCTAAAAAGAAAATATGGATGTAATAACAGGAAATTGATATTGTTACCTTTTATAAGCTGCTGCTCAGAGTTATAAACTGCAAGAGAGATGCTGGATTTGTTCTTTTTGTTCCTGTTTTTTGTTTGAATGAGCTGGCTGCAGATAAATGCAGCAGAATATAAGTCATAAAAAGTCATATTTTGTTTTCCAGTTCTGTCAAAAAACATGTCATTTGACAAGAGAAGATTCAACCAATACCAATATACTGGTCATCTTCGGATATTTTTTATAAAAGAAAACACTAATATCTCTTATTGTAATCAAATGTCTTTAGACACAGAGCTCCTTTTTAATGGTTTCAGAGAAATAACTTGTTTAATACTGTAGATATATTATAGATTGTGTGATTTGGGATCAAACTCTTCGTGCCTATCGTCCCGTCACAACTCCATACGGTATTTAAGATCAGCTTTCACAGAGACGTATTTGTTAACTGAGGACACTTCAGGGTTTAGGGGTCAGAGCCGATTTGACAGCAGGGGGCCGGCGGATCCGGCTGCTCTGTGTCGCCTGTTTACATTTTCCTCTGACAGATTACAGGGAGCCTCCTTCCATGCGTCAAGGAATGCTTTGATGCGACAAATGACCCGGTGCTAAATGACGCTTTGTCTGCCTGCCCACATGTCAGCGGAGGCCTCATTTCATACATAACACAGGGGGAGGACGGGCCTGCCGGTGTGTGTCTGTGTGAAAGAAAGAGTGTATTGTGGCGGGACAGTGAGAGAGAGAGGCAAAGGTCAAGTGGAGTCCTGAATGCCTCCTGACACCCACCCCCTGCCTTTTTTCTGTTTGCTTCCTGAAAACAAAGAAAGGATCATTTCCATCCCCTGTTTGCGAACAATATTTCCATGTTTATGCTGCTTTAATGGCCTAGGGGGAAAACACACAATCTTCAGATGGAAGATACTCATAATCTCACAGCTAAAGCCATTTCATCTCTTAATCACTATAACAACTTTAATTCGGCACCAGGGGATCGTTTTATGTGCAAATAGATTCTTCACAGCCTCAAAACACAAAGTGGAGCCATGATAGAGAAAAGCTCCACACCCCCGACTGAGATGTGCTCTATTTGACCTAAATGTATTCTGTTTCCACACTGTCACTTCTCCAGCCAGACGAAATGAATCAGACTACAGCGAGTCACATATTCATAGCAGTGGGTGAACGCTTTGTCAATAGAAACATGATTATCTGATTTGTTGGAGGTTCAGTCAGAATCAAAATCAGGAATCCTTTATTCGTCCCACCGAGGGGAAATGTACAATGCTGCAACAGCAACGGGACAGATAGTAATGACAACAATCAATAGTATATGTTTATATTGAATATAAGCAGGGTGATTGCAAAGCAGATCACGGGTGCTCATATAGTCATTTGGTCAGATTTAGATTTGTGGCGGGAAAATGTTCATTCTTACAAAAAAAGGGATATAGTCGAGATAATGAGGCGAATACAATAAGTAGGCTAACATATTAAATAAAGAGGCAAGCAAGCACACCAATGTTTGTTTTGTGTGTTTAAACTAACAATGTATGTACTTACTTATTTCCAGATGTCCCAATTCATATGTTGAGAGACATTACTTCTGCTTCTACACTTCTCAACAAGGTCTTTTCAGATACTGTGAAGCACAATGCAGCTTTGACTGCAGTTTGTCAGTAGTAGCAAGAGAATGGTTCTTGGTGGGAAAGTGGTACGTGGGCTTTGTATTGATTGTGCTTTATATGGAGAGTGTGAAAGTGTCACACCTTGTCTTTCTATCTCTCGGTCTGTGAGGCCAACACTCAGCGTCCTCCTGGGTGTGTGCCAGCTCTTCAGACTCTGGCGTTTGGTGTTGACCACTTGAAAAGATCTGTTAACAAAGAACAGTCCTTTAGATACAAGCCGGGCGAGTCTGCACCTCTTCAGTGCAGCACAGAGAGCCAAAAGTGTCCCTGCTGACATGTAGTGTGAGATGAACTCAAAACAAGAGCAGAAGTCCTTTAACTTAACCACTTCCTGGATCATTTTTGTACCTCTTTTAGCCATTTCAATGTGCCTTGCAGTATTGCTTTGGATTAACATTGACACAATCATTTACTAAAGCACCAAATGTGTGGATAATGCACAGCCTAAAACATTACGTTTTCTTCCTATTTGAGTAACAGTTGCTCAAAATTGGGCGATTCTTTGGAAGTTTTTCCAGCTTTCTTCTTAGGAAAAGTAAGGAAATTGAAAAGTGTTGGTTTGATATATGAGATTTGTTGCAAAAGTGAAAGAAAAAAAAGAATAACTCCAGCCTTATCCTTTATTTAACACACATATAGTGCTGTAGTATTTGGACTACGGACCAGAAGGGATTTCTCCAGAAAGCTATATCCTCCTATACTGTATATATCAACAGGGCAGACCCAAAAACAAACAGGAATGAAACAGATCGTATCTTCAGAGGCAGCTTTGCTCATCATATTTCCAGCTTGTGTCCCCGAGGAGATGTGAGTGCCCTCAGCGCCAGATAAGCATCTTCTGCTTTGATCGGTACCATCTCAACCCGCAGGCAGTGTGTGTGTGTGTGTGTGTGTGTGTGTGTGTGTGTGTGTGTGTGTGTGTGTGCGTGTGTGCGTGCGTGCGTGTGTGTGTGTGTGCAGCTCACTTACAGGAAGCCTCTCTGTTTCCGGCTGGATCTACAGACAGATGAAGGGCGTGGTCATTTCCTCTTGGACCGCTGCCAATCGAAGCCACAACTGGGTTAAATATGGATTTGATTTATATGGGATTTGGCTCCAAATATCTATGCACATTTAATAATAATAATAATAATAGATTTATTTTGTCAGCGCTTTTACAGGTGCTCAAAGACGCTTTACAGATATAGTGAAAAGAAAAGAAAGGAACAACAAATAAATATATAGTTAAATAATACAAAAACAATCACACATTAAAAGCCAGATTGAAGAGGTGAGTTGTTTGAAGGTGGTGAGCTCAGTGCAGTCTCTGATGGGTTGTGGGAGTGAGTTCCTGTTTTGGTGCGGGTGGGGATTGATAGGAGGTTGACTTCT